TCTGGCTCTGTCCCCAGCTCCAGCCAAGCCCCCGACCCGCCCGGGCGGTGCGCGCCCTCACACTGCACTACTAGCTGCTTGGATGCGCTGAGCTGGCCCGCCTTGCACGTGAACTTGGCCAGGTTGTCCGACGGATCTGTGATCAGCACTAGCTCGCGGGAGAAGGTGCTCCCCGACTTCTCCAGGCTTCCCAGCTGCACTCGCCGCGGCTCCTGAGGCTGCCGAGGCTCGGTCACGGTGCGCAAGTCCTGAAGGCCGGGACTGGCTGGGGCACCGCGGTTGGCGCTGCCCTTCTCCACCCAGCCTCGAGACGCCCCCCTTGGGTTGGTCACCACCAACCCAGACAAAGCCTTTGTGTGATAAGCAAAAGGCACCCCCCATCGACCTGCACCCGGCTAGGGTAAAGGAGTGGGAACTGGCACCCACCGTCCGCCGCCTGAGCCTCTCCCGCCTCCGCTGGGCCACCTGTGCACGCAGTTTTGGCGATCTGGTTCCGCCTCCCTTTCCGCGCCTCCAACCCATCGCCCCTCCTCCCTGGCCCCCAGCTGACCCTTAGCTTCACTCTTCAAAGTCCATTCCTGCTACATTTACCAAACGCCATGTGCCAGGAAACTCCCTTGAAATTCCTGAGACTTGCTGGAATTCCTTCATTTTTTTCCTATCCTCAGAACTTTCCCAAAGATTTCCTTTGACCTTTCCCTTAATTCCAGTGTCTTTTCATAGCTTTCTGAACCCTTCTCCTATATTCTTTTATTATCCTACTCTTTTACTAGAATTCTTTGTATTTCCCAAGTTCTTGGCATTTCCTCATACAATTAAAATGAAATTCGATTTGTCATTCTTATAATTCCTAGTCTTTCTCCCAGAATTTCCACTAGTCCCTAACTTCCCAGGATTTTCGTAGAATTCTGTCAGAATTTTCTTTAATTTTAGGGCTGGCCCGTGGCTCACTTGGGAGAGTGCGGTGCTGATAACACCAAGGCCACGGGTTCGGATCCTATATAGGGATGGCCGGTTGGCTCACTTGGGAGAGTGTGGTGCTGACAACACCAAGTCAAGGGTTAAGATCCCCTTACCGGTCATCTTTAAAAAAAACCCAAGAATTTCCTTTAATTTTAATGGAATTTTGTTTTCTTACCTCCAAGTCCGAATAATTTAATTTAATATTAGTGGATTTTTAATGTTCTGTGGAATTACTTGTCTTTCACCAAAATTTCTAGCTTTTGCCTAGAATATCATTGTCTTTTTTCCTGGGATTCTTAGTCTTTCACTGAAATTCTTGATGTTTCACTTGAATTCCAAGATTTTCACCAGAATTCCCTTTACTTTTAATGGAATTAATTGCCTTTTTTGTAGAATTCCCGATCTTAATCCAGAATTCCTTCTTTTATCCTAGAATCCTCACTGTTTTCACAGACTTCCCAGAATTTTCCTAGGACTCCATTTAATTTTCATGGCATTGGGTCATTTTCTTTTTTTTTTTTTTTTTTTTTTTTTTTTTGTGCCTTTTCCTATTCCCTACCAAAACTCAGAATCTCTAGTATTTTACAAGAAATTCAGGTTTTTCCAAGATTTCTCAAGATTCTGAAGGAGAGAAGGGGTCCTTGTCCCTCCCTCACATTCCTGGCCACCCCAAAGGCCTTGCTTGGCACCAACCTTGTACCAGGTAAGGGAGGGGTCTGGGTTGCCCCCGATGGCCAAGCACACCAGCCTCACCCGGGTCCCAGCCCTGAGGCGCTGCCCTTCTGGGGGTCCCTCGATCCACAGCTTCTGGGCAGGATCTAGGGAGAGAGTCCGGAAGAGTGACATTTTCTCTGGGCTGGGACCTAAAGGTAGGGTCTCTGAGGTCTGTGGCCATTCCCAGGCCAGGGTTGGGGCTCACATTTCACATTCAGGGTGAGTGACTTCTTAAAGGTCTCTTTGGCGAAGGCCTCACTGAAAGCCTCACATGTGAGGGTCAAACCATTGTCCTCCCGCCGCACCAAGAATGTCAGATTGGACATGGAGATGTGGCCGCCATGCAGGCCCTGGCAGAAAACGAGCTTCAGACTTCAGAATTGGGGCACTCCCATCCATGGTACCAGAAGCCTAGGTCCACCGCATACACATGACACATTTCCACCCCCTCCTCTGTCAGACCCAGGAGTCGGAGGCCCCAGTCCATGCTCCTCAAGGACCAAGGCTTCCAGACTGCCAGGCACCTCCTCTTCCAGCCCATTCCTCACTCAGACCCTGGGGGTTTGCCCCGCCTCACATCTGTGACTGTTTCTTCCGTGGTCAGCAGCTGCCGCCAGCCCAGCCACCATCGCAGCAGGACCCGCGGTCGACTGGACTTGGTGATACAGGAGAGCGTCATATTCTTGTTCTCAGACTGGGATGCAGATCCCAGGATAGTAATGGCACTGGGGGGAACTGTGGGGACAGATGGACAGAGAGACACTTGGCTGGGCTGGATTCCTCATGGACCAGCTCAGAGAGACAGATGGGGACTGTGGACAGATGATGAGGTCTTTGGCATTGGATAGGCATAATTTGGGGACACAAACATATGGTTCTCTGGGGCATGGACTTCTAGGTGGGCAGCTGGCACCAGCTCACAGGCAACTTGCAGCAGGATGCTGCGTTCCTGGGTCACTGTAGATACGCTGTTGTGGGCCTCACAGCTGAGCCGTGCTCCATGGTCTTCTGGCCGCGCGGTCATCACCAGCACACTGCGGGCCACCGCCTGGGCATGTTCTGTGCCCCACGCTGTGGACATGGGCTGGCCATTCTGGAGACAGGGACAGGCCTGAGCCAACTCAGGGCCAGCTCCTGGCCCCCTCCACCCCCTCAGCCCCCTTGCCTGCCTCTGCCCTCACCTTCAGCCACTGCAGTGTAGCTGGTGGATTTCCCCCTCGGGCAGTACATGGTAGCTCCAAGCTCTGCCCTGCCCGCACGTGTCCCTCATCCAGGCCTGGCCACTCGATGACAGGGGGTCCTGGGGGGACTGGGGAGCAGTAGTCACTCAGTGGGCCTGGAGAGCCCATCTATCTTTCCAGGCCCCATAACCTGCTTCTGAACCCCCATGCTTCTCCTTTGAGTGCCTAAATTTTCCATAATCCCTGTGATCCCCCAGGACCCCCAATTCCTGCTTCCCGTCCTCAGTACCCAGAATTGCTTCAGTTCTCCACTTACACAGAACATTCATGGTGACTGAAGCCTTGATAGGGGTGTCCAAGGCTGGGCTGGACCCCTCACAGACCAGTAATTGCCCATTATCCAAGCTCTGGGGTGTCACCCTGGGATGGGAAGTTGGGGTTCTAGAGTCAGAGTAATCTAAAATTTGGGGAGTCAAGGCAAAGAGGTGGGGATCCCAGGTCCCCACACATGGTCTAAATCTCCATGCTGATTTCTTCTGGGATCTAGAGTTACATGAGAGAGATTTGGGGGGTCAGTAATGAGAACTGGGGCCCAAGAGGCCCACATCTGGCCAAAATCTATGTGCTTGATACCCTGGAACAGGGGTTCCCATGAAGAAGTTTCAAGGGTTAGTGTGAAGAACTGGGACCCAGATGTTCATACCTGACACAAGTTTCCATGCTTGATTCCCCAGGATATGGGATTCTCATAGGAAAATTTGGGGGTCAGAGTGGGGGGAGGGTGTCCCAAGTTCCACACCTGGCTGTGGCCTCTGTGGTGAAGAGTTTCTCCTGGGACCCCTCATTCACATTAGCAGAGATGTCAGATATTGTTCGTCCACCTTGGGGCAACAAGAGGGCTGGAGGGGTGACATCAGAGTGGGGGGAGGGTGTCCCAAGTTCCACACCTGGCTGTGGCCTCTGTGGTGAAGAGTTTCTCCTGGGACCCCTCATTCACGTTAGCAGAGATGTCAGATATTGTTCGTCCACCTTGGGGCAACAAGAGGGCTGGAGGGGTGACAGGTTCCCCCCAAGGTGGATTCCAGAGAGCATGGCCTGGAAGTCCTTGGGATACACATGATGCCCCCTCCCTCCTGGTTCTGGAGGAAAAGGGCCTGGGGCACCAGCCCCGTCCTCCCCACACTCTCAAGACTCCCTGAATTCCAGAGTCCTCGGGGCTAGGTCCTGGGCCTCTCCTTCCCACCTTGCTGGGTTGTAGCATGCACCCCCATCACCTCAGCTTCTCATTTCTGCACTGCCTCCACCTCTCCCTGAGCCCCATATCAGCAGTCGTGCGGTCTCCTGGGTGCCTACCCCTGAGGTCCCTTCCTGTTAACCAGATCCCACACTGGCCTCAGCCTCTCCCTACTGCTTCTGGGTTCCCATCTCAGGAATGACATATTTTCTGGACCCCTAGGAGGTCACTGAGCAGGAACACACCACCTCCCCACTGCAGGGGCTTCACACTGCCCCTACCAATTCACCCACACTCACTCTGGAGGAAGGTGATGTCAGGTGCTGGCTTTGCATCCCCAGACACACAGCTGACCACATACTCCTGCCCAGCTACCCAGGTGACCGTGCTCCCTGCCTCAGGGGTCAGCTGAAGCACCTTGGGGGGAACTGATGAGAAAGGGTTTGGGGTAAACCTCTACCACCAAGAAGCATATGAGGATTTGGACTTTGAGTCTCTTTGCTCATGAAAATGTCCTGTACCCGGGATGTAAGGGGGGAGGGGCTGGGAGATTGGATTCCTGGGTCCTGGGGAAGAAGAGGGCTGGAAGTCCAGACTCATGGGTCCTGGGGGTCTCTCACCCATACCCAGGATGGAGAGGAACACTCTGGGTGACACGAGCTCGGGGCCCATCTCCGAGCGGCCGACCTGGCACTCATACTCTGCATCGTCGCTGAGTTCACAGGCTTCTATATGCAGGTGGAATTCACCTGCAGGTGGGGCCAAGGTCAGAGCCACAGCCTCTGCTGGTGGCTCAGAGTCTCAGGCTCTGATCCCTTACCTCTAGCAGGATCCCCTTCCAGGCGGTACCTCGGGAAGCCTGGGATCCTAGGGTCAGGGCCAAGGAGTAGCCCATCTTTGGCCCATTGCACCACACTGCCAGGGGCACTGACCCCGCACTGCAGCTTGACTGAAGCCCCCTCCACAATCGTCAGGTTTTCAGGCAGGGTCAAGAATCCTCGGGAGGCTGAGGCAGCGATCAGTGACTGAGCCAGGCCTGGGGACACAGGGGAGCAGCAGGAAAAGGGGAGAGAGCAGAGGAATATGGGTGGGGAATGAGTGCCACTTGGCACTGGGTACAAGGCCAGGATCCTACTCACCTGTGGTCAGCAGCCCCATGAGCAGCAGAGGAATCTTATCAGGGGTTCTCAGGGCCATTCCAGGTCCTCTGACTGTGGCTCCCACAATGCCCATTGCCTGCCACCTGTGTCTGCCTGTCTTTCTCTGGGTCCCTCTCCTGAGTCTCTGTCTCCTGCTTTTCTTTTTGTCTCTCTTTTTGGGTCTCTCTCACTCTCTTTCCCTGTTTTCCTCTCTTCCCATGAGTGTCTCTTTATCTCTGTCTCGCTCTCCTTGTCTCTCTCTTCCCCAATCTCTCTGCCTCTGAGTCTCCTTCTCTGTCTCTTTCTCTATCTTTCTCTCCCTGTCTAAGCCTGTTTCTCTCTGAGTCTGTCTCTGAGTCTCCCACTCCAGCCCAGCCCAGCCCACCCCACCCCTGGTCTGTCTTTCTCTCTATCTCTGTTGCCCTGCCTGAGGCTTTCTCTCTTTCTCTTTCCTTCACCACCAATCAGTCTCTGTTCCTCTTTCTTCTCTCCTGCCACCCCACCCCTGCTCTCCTTCTCTCGCCACTCACAACCCCTCAGGGAGGACCCGCTGCTCAGAGTCCAGCAGGACCCATGATCCCAGGAGAGCGATGAGTCCAATGTGGTCAGTGGCAGAGTTGGGTCAGTTCTGTGCTCACACTGCTGCCTCCCCCGGGTGCCCTCCCAAGTCTCCAGCTCCAGCCTCTGCCCAACAGACTCCTCCTGGCCCAGCTGGAGCATGAAATCCCCTGTCAGCACATGCCAGGCACATTCCTCAGTACCTCCCCAGCCCCCCTGACCCCAAGGGCCTGGCTCAGGCTGGGGATATGGGAGAGCAGGTCAGGCCCAGGCAGTCTCCCAGCCTAGCATGGGGAGCAGAGAGCTGGGTCTGCTGTGGGTGGGTAGGTCTCCCCAGCTCTTCCCTGCCCTGATCCATGACCTTGGCAAGTCCCTTCCTTCCCTGAGTAGATATCAGCACCTCAGTGACATCAGAGATCTCTGCTGGGACATGTGCAAGAGTGTGTGTGACAGACTGGGAGAGTGTGGGAAAGAGTGAAGATATCTGTGTGTGTGTGTATGTGTGTGTGTGCGTGCGTGTGTGTGCGTGCACGCATGCATGTGAGCAGGGGAAGGTGAGAGTTGATTGTGACCTGTGAAAGCGTGTGGAAAGTGCATGAGTGTGTAAGAATGTCTGAGGTATAAGTGTGTAAGGGCGTCTTTGGTGTGAGTGTGCAGGGTGCAGGGCAGTCTGAGTGGGCAGGGGTGAAAGGCAGGGTGGAAGCCTGCCAGCCCTCGGGGTGGGTGCAGTGGTGGGCCCAGCGTGGGCATGCTTAGCGAGGGCTGTGTGACGGTCCTGCCATCTCCTCCATCTCTTCTTTCCTTCTCTGGGTGCCTCTCTCCCTCCCTCTACCCATCTTGATTTATCTTTCTCCACCTCTTTGAGATGCTCCTCTCTCTGTGTCTCTCTCCCCCTGTGGTGGTTAAATCTCAGCCAACCTTTAACTATTTCACTATCTTTCCCTCTGCCTCTACGAGTCCCTGTCTTTCTGTCTTTCTGTCCCTGTTCTCAACGCTGTCGCTCCCCCCATTCCCTATTCTGTCTCTCGCACACCAGGAGCTCAGTAAATATTTGTTCTCCGTCAGCCTCTAACTGTGCCTCCTTCCCTTATTTGTTTCTGTATCTGAGTCCTCCTGACTGCCACATCCCTGAATTTCATAACCGTATGCTGGCTGGCCTGCTCCCCCGACCCCAGAGTGCACATACACGCTCGCATGGGATAAGCTTCTTCTGCCTGCTTATCCCCTGCAGGAATTGGAACTGCTCGTTTTCTCCCCCCTCCCCACGACCCCCCCATCTGGTCCTCCTCCAGGAACAAGATGAAGCATCTGGCCTGAGCCCCCGCAGCTCCATCCTTGATGCTCCCTGCAGTCTTTCTTCTTCCCTCTCATTAGTGACTCCTTGTCCTCCCATATTCCCTCTCCCACTGTCCCCCACTCCTCCTGGGAGATGGGCTGGATGCAGAGCTGGGGCGAGGGGGTGGTCTGTCAGAGGGGCTCTCACCAGATGGTGTCCCTGGGGGCCTGGGTGTAGAGCTGTCAATTGCTGGGACCTTTAATTAGCACAAACTTTCCACCCTCCACCGTTGGCTGTTTTCCTTCTCTGCATGCTCCTGGGACTTCAGGCTCTCCATCTTTCCATGTCTGTGGCCCCAGAGAGCCAGGAAGGGGAAGTGATGGCAGGGGTCTGGAAAAACAGCCTCACTACCTGACTTCCTCCCCAAAACTCAGGAGCCCTGGCTCAAGCCCATCCTATTACAAAATCCAAGCACTGGATCCTCAACACAGAAGCCAGGAGTTCAGGCTCCCAGACTAGGAGTCTGGATCCCTCGGACCCTCCCGTCTCAGACCTAAGAGTTTAGGCCCTCAGACCCTTCTCTCCAAGGACCCAGGAGTTCAGGCCTCCAATCTCTTCCACCCCTACCCTCCACCCCCCAACACACACAGAGGACTCAGGACAGATGTTCACTGATTTTCAAATCCTCTGGGTCTGTGTGGGGGTGGAAGGGAGATTGATGGCTAAATCCACTAACTCTAAGACTTAAGACCAGATATTCTGACCCGCTGTCACCCTCTCCCAACTGCACCATGCTGCAGGCAGGGACATGAGAGTTGAGTCTCCAACCCCTCAAGGAACTCACAGTTCAAACCCTCAGCTTCTCAGCCAGCAGAGGTCTGAACCACCAGTCCCTTATAATCCTGGAAGTCCAACCCCTGCCATTCAGGGACGCCAGAGTCAGAGCCCAGGAACAACTAAGTGCCTGAATGTCGACCCCCACTCTCCACAAGCCAGGGATGTCAGACCCCGGGCCCAGCCCCCGAGCCCCCTTCAGTCGGTTCAGCGTCCCGCCCACCTGCTAGGCCAGCTGTGCAGCGTGGGAACGCCCCAGCTGGACTGCTTGTAGCCGTCAGGACAAGCTGTGCGGTTCCCAGCCTCCCTGCCTGCCAGCCGGAGCCCGGGCACCGCCGCCTCCCAGCCGTCGCCCGGCAACCGCGGCCGGCCGAGGGGCCCGGCCTGCAGAGTGTAGGGAGGGGCTGGGCCCGGACTGCGGGGTCCTGGGAAAGGAGGGCCTGGGGGCCTGGATTCCTGGGTCTTGGGACGTGCTATGGTTTGCAGCGGTAACGAGGCAGCAGAGGGAGATTTTGAGGAGGAGTTTTGAGGTGAGGGAGATGAACTCCACTCTTCTCAGGGGTTCCAGATGTCCCCAGCCACCTGAGTGCCCTCTTCCCGACCCGCAGGCCCAAGGGAGTCCCGAACCCCGCCTCCCCAGGGCGCGGACACTGGCGAGCCCCTAGGGGCTCCCATTTATAGCTGCGTTTCCACTCAGCGCAGTCTTTATAGCTGCGTTTCCACTCAGCGCAGTCCCTCCAGGACCTGGGCTGAGCAAGTTTCTTCCACTCCCTCCCTTCCCTCCTCCTCACCCCCATGCCTCCCCCAACCCCGGCAGGGCGCAGGTGTCCAGCCCAGCCGGGACCCCCTCCTTGGACCCAGGTGTTCGGGCTCCCAGACCCGAATAGGGCCGGGGCGCCCGCCCACCGGGAGGACCCCGCCCTGAGCGCCCCCATTCAACCGCGTCTCGGCCGCGGAACTTTCTCAATGGGAAGAGGGCGGGTCTCCAGGGGGCGGGCCGGGGCGGGGCGAGCAGGATCCGGCCCTCCCGGGGTCCCGCGGAGACCGAGGGCGCGGAACTAGCAGGCGTTTCAGAGCGTCGGAGGCTGCGGAGGAGCAGACTTGGGGGGCTCTCCAGGCCCGAGACGGGGGGCCTCTGGCCAGGGGAGAAGAGTCGAGCACGAAGGGGGCCCCAGACCAGGGTGAAGGGAAGTGTGGTTCCGAGGAAGAAGTTGGCAGGGAAGCCAGTGCTACGAAGGGGAAGACTCGTGGACCTTGGGGTACACACACTCGGGATGCTGGTCCCCGCCCTCCTCGGCCTCGTCTTCTGCTTCAGAGGGCGTGCAGGTACCACCAGGGGGGCGCGGGGGGACATGCGGGAGGACCGTTTGCCGGCTGCCGCTTTACTAGGGAAAGGAGGCTGGGGACTTGACTCCCGGGTCCTGAAAAAGGTAGCTCTGGAAAGTGCTAAGCTCAGCTCTGCTGCCCCCCTCTCTCCTAGGCGCGTCGCCCCATTTCCTGCAACAGCCAGAGAATCTGGTGGTGCTGCTGGGGGAAGAAGCCCGGCTGCCCTGTGCTCTGGGCGCATACTGGGGGCTGGTCCAGTGGACTAAAGATGGGCTGGCTCTAGGGGGTGAAAGGGATCTACCAGGTAAGGCTGTTCTCTCTGCTCATGGAAGGGCTGGCTCTAGGGTAGGCTGCTGGGCTTGGGCTGTGCCTGAAGTTTCTATTCTGACATTTTCAAGTTTGGGAAATTGATAGGCTCAGGGAAACATGTGGAAATCCTGAGTTTTGAGCTGCTTCTTTGGGGGTGATCCATAGAGTTTGTGGATTATTACTTTTATTGTAATACAGTATGTGAATGCAGAAAAGGGCAGTAAACATAAGTGGTAGATTTGCCAAATAATTATAGACACACATACAACCAATAGCCAGGTTAATTGCCAGCTCCCCAGAATCCCTCCTTATTCCCTTCCCCTGTCATAGCCCTCTTCCCCCTCACTCCAGAATCAATATCTAATCTGACTTTTATGGCAATCATTCTCTTGCCTTCCTTTCTGACTTTATCACCCCCAAGTTTGCAACGACTCTGGTTGGGAGGGGGTTAGAGTCTTTCTGGGCCCAGCACATACTTTTTCATAGTGTTTTACTATCGACTGTGTGGGCCAGTTTTCTGGTGTGGGATGTCTGGAGATGGAGGCATGAAGCCAGGAACTCAGAACCATGGTGAGACCACATCTTCCCTGATTCCAGGGTGGTCCCGGTACTGGATATCAGGAAATGCAGCCAGCGGCCAGCACAACCTCCACATTAGGCCTGTGGAGCTTGAAGATGAAGCATCATATGAATGTCAGGCTACACAAGCAGGCCTTCGCTCACGACCAGCCCAATTGCATGTGCTGGGTGAGGATCCACCCCACTTCTCCCCCTCAGAACCCAGAAGGGCAGCCAGTACTAGCTGGGAGTATTAGAGTCCAGGGAGCCCAGGGAAGTGGTCAATTGGAGCTGAGAAGATCAGGGTCTCGGCCCAGATTCACCTTTGACCCCAGATCCACCCTGCAGTGC